TCTTGGCCTGTGAACTCTGCCCTGATTTCTCCACTGCCCCCTGCCCCCGCTTGTTAGCATACATTATTTTCAGTAGCTTTAAAAAAAAAAATACTACAAACACACACACACACACACACACACACACACACACACACACACACGCACAAATAGACATCAACCATTAAGCCAGAAGTGGTGGTCACACTTGAAATACAGCAGTAAAGGAAGGAAGACCAGTAGTTCAAGATCATTCTCAGTTACACAGTCAGTTTAAGGTGAGCCTGGACTATATGAGGTCCAGTCTCAACTCCTACCCGCCCCCTCCTCCCCAAAACACCCCCACAGCACCTTGATGTGACAGGTGCGGTAGGTGGGAGATGCCTGAGGAAGGAGTCTACTGTCCCAGTGTGACTCAGAGCAGTGCTGCAGAAGTATGATCTGAGCCGGATCAGAAGGACATTCCCGATGGGGGTACGTGCCCGGACAAAGGCAGAGAGACAAAGTGTTTAGGAAACTTCAGTGATTCACTGTGGCTGTGGGGAGTAGGACAAGGTAGACAGCTGTGGGAGATAACGTCCTCAACAAGTGGCAGCTGGATCCGACGTGTGACAAAGGGAAATCGCTGGGGTACTGATGAAGAGAGTTTGTAGCATTTGGAAGAAGAAGAAGGGGTTGGGGATTTAGCTCAGTGGTAGAGCGCTTGCCTAGCAAGCACAAGGCTCAAAAAAAAAAAAAAAAAAAAAAAAAAAGTAGGAAGAGGAAGAAGAAGGACGTGTGGCGGGCTCTGCCATGGAGCGTGAGAGCGATCCTGATCCCAAGAGAGCGCTGGGGATGTCAGTGAGGGAGCTTTGTTTGGACACGTGGAGTCTGAGATGTTCATGGGCATGCCAGTGGAAATTCCAGTTAGGTCCGTGTTTAGAAAGCTCTGGCCTGAGTAACAGATAAGACAAGTGGGCTGCTGATGGGGAAAGTCAGGGTAAACAAGTGAGGCATATGTTCTGTAGGCAGGGAAGAGATGAGGAACGGCTTCAGTGGGTTTTTTTGTTTTGGTTTGGTGGTTTGTTTTTTTTTGGTTTTTTGAGACAGGATCTTATGTGTGCTAGGCTGACCTTGATCTTGCTATGTACCTGAAGATGACTTTGAATTTCTGATTCTCTTGCCTCTCTCTCCCTGGCGTAAGGAATACAGACATATACCGTGCCGTGTGTGTGTGTGTGTGTGTGTGTGTGTGTGTGTGTGTGCTGGGAATCAAACCCAGGCCTTGTTAGGCAAGTGTTCTACCACTGAGCTACATCACCAGCCTTAGTATGGCTGATTGATAGTGATGGGGATGGCACAATGGACTCTCAGGTATGATAAGCAAGTGTTCTAACAGTAAACCATACACTCATCTTCACCTTTCTCATTTTTTTTTAATATAGGGTCTCAATATATAGCCCTGACTGTCCTGGAACTCACTCTGTAGACCAGGCTGGCCTCCTTCGAACTCAGAGAGCCTCCTGCTTCTGCCTCCTGATTTCTGGGATTAAAGGTGTATGCCACTATGCCCAGCTCCTTCTTATATTTTGCTTTTTACACTTTTGATTTTATGCATATGTGTATGCACATGGGTATGTGTATGCAGGAATCTGTGGAGGTCAGAAGAGGTGTGGCCCCCTGGAACTGTGGTTGCAGATGGTTGTGGGTGCTGGGAACCATGCCCAGGTCCTCTGTAAGAGCAGCAAGTGCTCTAAACCACTGAGCCATCTCTCTAGACCCTGCTTTGCTTTGTTTTTGAAAACAGAATCTCTTGCAGTCCAGCTTGGCCTTGAGTTTAATATGCAACCAAGAATGACCTTGAACTCTGATTCTCCAGCCTCCACATCCCAAGCATTAGGATTACAGTAGGAGCCACCAGATTTTTTTTTTAATTTTATTTTATGTAATTTGTTTAAGGTATGTGCTCTATCTGCATGTATTACCTGCAGGCCAGAAGAGGGCACCAGATCTCATTACAGATGGTTGTGAACCACCATGTGGTTGCTGGGAATTGAACTCAGGACCTCTGGAAGAGCAGCCAGTGCTCTTAACCACTGAGCCTTCTCTCCAGCTCCCACAGTTCCCTTCTTTGTTTAAAAGCAAATATTTTTAAATTCTATTCATTTCTTACATTTTTAACATCTTTGAAGTCAGTGTGAATTTTAGTTACATGCATGCCATAGCTTAATTGATACTTTTTTTCTTTTTCTTTTTTTTTAAATTTATTTATTTATTATGTATACAGAAGAGGGCGCCAGGTCTCATTACAGATGGTTGTGAGCCACCATGTGGTTGCTGGGAATTGAACTCAGGACCTCTGGAAGTGCAGTCAGTGCTCTTAACCTCTGAGCCATCTCTCCAGCCCCAGATTTTTTTTTCTTAACACACAGTAATAGTATATATTATTATTGATGGTTTCATAGATTTATTTTTTAAGATTTTGGTTTTCATTTTACTTGTATGAATATTTTGCCAGCATGTAGGTATGTGTACCACATGTATTCCTGGTGTCCACAGAGACCAAAAGAAGGTACTGGACCTCCTAAACTGGAGTTTTGGACAGTTGTTGCTGCCATGTGGGTGCTGGGAACAGAACTTGGGTCCTCTGCAAGAGCTCTTCACAGTTGAGCTGCCTCTAGTCCCTGATGTCATACATTTAATGAAACATAGTCGTGCTTACATTAAAGGAATGTTACAGTCAAAACTTATTCATACAAAATGCTGAACCCGGTGGCATCTGCCTCTAATCCCCGCTACACAACAAGACTGTGTCCAAAACAAAATATAAGGAAATGGTGCAGAGGTTAAATACATTGCCAAGGCCCAGTAAGAGCAGACTAAAGATTTGAAATGAGCATCCCAACTCCAAAACCCAACTTCATCACATGCTGTGAGAAATGTGGAGCTTTGGGAGGACCCACGTGGCCACTGAGAATGACCTAGGTTCAAGAGGAGCAATTCACAACAGATGGAGCATCTGGGAGACTAAGTCCACTATCAAAGGTTCTTGGTGGGCTGGAGACCACCACAGGAGAAGGAGGCAGACAGGATAGAGGTCCTTGAATAAGGGGTGGTGTTGTAGATCTATGAATATTGGGCAGGAGAATGGGATCACCTGTAAAATGTTGATCCCAGAAATGGAGGCTGAGCAGAGGAGGGGACAGGCCAGATGCCATCCAGAGAACTGTGCCTCCGCTGAGGTCAGGATGTCATGGGGCTTCTCACACCCTCTTTCTTGGGTAGTGATGCTACCTGGTACCTGGTAGGCATTCAGTGTTGTCCAAGGAATGGATGAGTTTCCCTATGATCTTGGACAAGTTTGTGCTCTTATATGCTCTTATATGCTCTCATATATTCATGTATAAAATGAAAGGATTGTCTAGAATGTGTGAAACAAACAGGGCCAGATGGTGGTGGTGCATGCCTATAATCCCATCATTTAGGAGGTAGAGGCAGGAAGGTCAGAGGCTCAAGGTCATCCTCAGCATCATAGCAAGTTGGAGGCCAGATTGAGCTGACAAGACCAAAGGGCCGTAGGGATGGCTCAGCAGGCTAAGGAGCTTGCCACCAAGACTGATGATCTGAGTTCAGCCCCTAGGACCCTCAGAGTAGAAGGAGAAAAATTGACTCCTTTAAACTGTTCTCCGTCCTCCATACATGTGCTGTGGTCCACATACACTTACACACACAATAACCAGCCAAACAAATAAAATTTAAAAACAAAATCTAGGGCAGGGCATGGTGGTGCACACCTTTAATCTCAGCACTTAGGTGGCAGAGGCATGTGGATCTCTGTGAGTTCGAGGCCAGCCTGATCTACAAATCGAGTTCCAGAGCCGTTACACAGAGAAACTGTCTTGAAAAACAAAAAACAGATGAAAAAAATAAGAAGGAAAACAGTGGAGATCTCAGAAAGCTTCTCTTTCCAACCCTAGGCAAAGGGAGGACAGTTAGCACAGCGGTCCAGACCTGGCTGTAGATCCTATTAGCCAAGGCTTTGTGTGAGACCACTTCGCTCACACTCAGGGGAGAGACAGAAGCATGAGCTGTTTGGAAACTGTCCCAGTGACTCCAAATGTGCCATTTGAAAACACTTGCCCTCGGTTTGAAAACTAGGTGAAGGCTGGGACCCCATCTGGGCTTCAGTGCTTATAGTGAAGGCGGCTGGTGACAGGCCTCTCTTCACCTTCCATCTCTTGTCATTCAAACCCCAACCCCCTAACACACAGAGCACCGGCACCCACTTTTCTCCCACCATAAACTGTTGACGTCAGGGCAGGATTTTCCTGTGTATCCTAGGATGTTAGCAGCAGCCTTAGTCTCCACCCACTAGATGCCAGTAACACATCCCCCATTCAAAACAAAACTGTCTCCAGACATTGCTAAATATCCGGGGGGAGGGAAGCGCCCCTAATTAGAATTCCTAAGAATCTCCATTCTCTTGCCTGCCCAAGTTGCAGATAGAGACCAGGCACAGAGGGAAGGCATTGCGCACCAAATTTAGTTGGGCCCAGCAGGAGTGGAGGCCAGGGCTGCACAGTATTAACACAATGGAGGGACTGCATGCCAGCGGGCTGACTGATGTGGTCTCAACCCAGAGGGAGAGAGTTTTCCAGAACTCTCATTCCCGGATTCGCGATCAGTCATAGGAGGGCCTAGAGCAACGTCTACAGGCCAACAGTCCCCCGCTTTCCGGGAATGGACAGAGGGGATGTGGGAGTGGTGGTAAGGGATTCTTTCCTTCTGTAGATAATTTCCTGGCAGCATCCACGGCTCTGTCTGATTGGTGGAGCGAAGAAGAGGAGGAACTTTCCAGCTGTGGGTGCCTGGGTTCCTGGAGGCATCTGACATGGATATTGATTACAAAAGTCTGAGTTTTAGGGTCTGGAAGACGGAGGCTTTGGGGCTGGGTCTAAAAAGTGGCTTGTTCCCACCCTAAGGGATGTAGAAATTGTGGGCACAAATTCCTTAGAGCTGGGGTGGGAAAGCTGTGAGCATCTTCACAAGTCTTTCGCTTGCAGGTGGCGGTACCTGAAAGAAGACAGAGGATGGGAGGCCTGGAGGGGAGCAGGGAAGGGGGTTGGGAGGAAGGCGGAAGGGCGGTTTCCGGCATTTCTCCGGTTATCCCCCAACTCACTCCACCTGGAGGCTCACAGCACCCAAAAGCAGGACAATCCCGAAGATAGATAAGAGCAGAATCTTAGCGTCCCGCAGATCGTAACTTCCTGCAAGGAACCCAGGAAGCCGTGGATGAACCCGCGGATCACACCAGGGCACCGAAGGGGTACAAGGGGCAGCGTAAGGAATAAGAACCTGGAAAGCAGCGCTTTCGGGGCCAACACGACGCCTCCTTGCCCTCGCAGGTGGAGCAGTTGTACAGGATGGTGCTGCCCCCTGCAGGAGACAATAGGAGCAGCGCCGGCGAGCGAAGCCAAGGTCTCCACCCTTCCAACCACCCAACTTCCTCAGGCTTGTTAGTTACCCTTTTTACTCACGGCAGGCGGGAGCACAGAGAGCTGAAAGGAAGGACCAAGAGGGGTGGCTGACCTCTTCAGTCACACTCCACTTGGCTACAAATCCCAGGTGGCCCCTTGATTCCTTCCCCATCAATACCTTCGCTGGTGTACTGGGGGATCTTGGTCTTCTGAAGCCATTGCCAATATGAAGGAAGCGAGGAAAAGGATCTTTTTATCTCTGGGGAGGCAGGGCACAGCTGTATTGCCCTAGGCCTCATGCCTTCCATGCCCCTTCCCAGATCAGCCCGTCTTCACCTGCCCCCACCCCATCCTTCCTTGAGTCCAAGGTTTCAGCTTCCCTCTGACCTCACCCATGACCCTCAGGACTCTGTGGGTCTTCTCTGTGATTTTGTTCATGGTCACCTCATCTGTGGAGATGGGAGGAAGAGCTAGCCTCTCGGTAGGCTCCAGGGTTTTTGTTTTTCCTATTTGCTAGGACACAGAGTTCTTCCACGCAGAGAGGCTAGTGTGTCTAGGGGGCGCTATGGACTGAAGCGGTGACGGAGGGGCACAGTTAGGGACTCGGGCCACCCCTTTAGGATACACAGGTGACTTCCGCAGGGCTAACCTTGTGTGTCTGGCATTACCTAAGGCAAAGGCTGAGAAATCGGGGGAAGCCCATTCCTTCCACTGCATCTCCATCTGGCTACTGAGCCGAGCCAGGCGGCTTGGCAAGGCATGAGTTGGGAGTCGACAAAAGATACAAGCCTTGGCAACGGCCAGGAAAACCCCAGCTAATGCCAGCACCCACATGAGGTCTGCTGGAGGATGGGGGGGAGCCGAACCCCCTTGGACCAGGGAAGACTCAGAATGCTCTGAGATTCGGATTCTAGCCCTTCGCGTAGGAGGTTCTAGACTGATCTAGAACAATGCCATTGTTTCACCCCTTGACTCTGGCAAAGCTGCCCCTGGGCCCCCAGAACTGGCGGCTAGTAGGAGAGAGAGGGAGGAATGGGGGTTTCGGTTGCAAGGCGGCAATGGCCTTTACACGTCCGTGGTTCTGAAAGCAATTTTATTTTTCTTCTTCTAAGTCACAGTGATAGATGAATTGACTCCTCCCAGTGAAGATGTGCATGTGTGCATCCACTCAGGAACCCAGAAATGCTATCCCTTCCCACACCCTCTCCACTCTGTCAACTCTCTGTCTCCTCTCTGCCCAGGACAGCCTTAGGCCTTAGCCAGCTATTTCCTAGCAACAGGCTCACGGTTGTCTCAGCAACCAAGAGCTCCCGGAGGTCTCAGAGGCCTAGCTAAGCCCAGTGGCTTTTACCTCTCATCGGAAGAGCCCAGTGACTCAAACTCAAACAAGTCCCTCCTGCCTACGTGGTGGTGTGGGCATAAACACACACGCAAACACACACACACCCTATGATTAAACTAAATCTCAATCTGCTCTCACACATACCATAGATATACCTGAGCCTGAAGAGTTGCTAGGCAACCCCAAACAGGCCTGGACATGCCAGGATCACAGAAGGACCATCACGTAAACACTGATGGGAATTGAGATGCCAGGGGCCCAAGCATCAGTCAGATACAGTGGCTGGCCCCAGGGGCCCAAGCATCAGTCAGATACAGTGGCTGGCCCCAGGGGTCCAAGCATCAGTCAGATACAGTGGCTGGCCCACACACACATGAAAGACGTGCAGGGCACAAAAAATACTACCATCTTTCCCCATGTCCAGCCCCACTTACAGAGAGTCCTCTAAAACACTCGGAATTCCAGAAGGGTGCTCTAGCCCCACGCTTATGGGAGTTCTCCTAGCTCCCTTTTGTCAACCTAGGATAAGATGTCTATTTTCAATCTCCCACAATAGGTGGCTCGGGACATAGTAAAGAATCTCCCAGATGTCTTGGCCTCTTAATGGTCATGGTAGGATAAGGTGCCCACCTCAGGAGGGGAAGCCACAGTCTAGGGGACAGACCACATTTGACAATTCAAAATATGTCCTTCCACCTCAAACCTCCAGAGTTCTGCTAAGTCTAGCCTGGGCAAAGAGGTGCTTCCTTACTTTTCCACACCCCTGAATACAGAGGGCCCATCCTCAAGCAAGAACAGGCTCGAGAAACCACGGATGCTTTCCCAGGATAAGCCCCGGTGTCGATCTTCTGGACCACTCGAGTTCTGGGAGTTGAGTCGGGGCAGCTCGATTTGGGAATCTCAGCCTATATCTAGGCTCCAGTCAGGTTTGGTGGGATCCCTGACTCTCATAGCTCCCACACCAGAACTAGAAAGAGGCTGCGGAAGAGCCATCAGCCCCTTGGCTGACGCATTCCTCCACAGTCAAGTGAAAGCTAGCATGCTCAGTGGCGGACAAAGCGTAAAGATCTGGAGTTCAGTAGGTCTTCAGGGTCTGGGAAGACTGAGTCCAGGCGGAAGCCATGTTCCAGAGCCACCCGCAATACCTCCTCCAGGAAGGCAGGCGTGTTCACCACCTCCCGCCGATCTTCTGGCCCCCCAGTCCACAGCGGCTGCAGTCCCAGTCTTTCATACTCCACGTCAGGGAGTTCCCGGGGGCGGGAGGCCCACTCTAGACGAAAATGTGGACCGCTCTCGGCCCTGTCCCCACTGACCACACCAAATCGGTTGCGCATGGCACCCAGACACTCAGGGTCAGTACAGAAGAGGTTGGCTCGGAAGGTGTCCACCTGGACAGAGCTCAGCTCATAGTGGTGCGGGCCCCTTCGAGCAGAGAAGTGTACCAGGCGGGGGTTGACATCTACATCGGCATGGAGCAGGGCAGCTCTGGGGGCAGGGGTACCCCGAGAAGCTTCCAATTCCCGCAGGGCATCCAGAAGGGGCCGGATCTGGTAGAAGTCAGCCTCTGCCTTAAGAAGTGCGGTTTCTCCATACCCACGGGGCAGGTCCAGACGGCCCAGGCGCAGGAAATTGAGGATATGCCGGAAAGCCTTGCCGTCTCTGTCGATGAAGTAATGGCCATCTCCTTGCCGGTTGAGATTGGCTGGCATAAGGGTGTCAGCCCTAAACATGGCCCCCAGCATGGAGTCTGGGAAGCGAGTCAGGGTCTCCAATGTAGTGGAGTATAGTGTACCCCCCACATTTAGGGTCACGGGGCCCCCAAAAGAAGGGGGTGAAGAGGACACAGGAGGGGGGGAAATTTTGGGGACTGTAGGAGACAAGCAAGGAGAAGGAAAAGGCAGAATCTCCTGGATTTGGGAAGAATCGGATGGTAATGTTCAGACTCGCTATGTTGGAGGCAGAGGTTGCAGAACAAGACAGCAAAGTTTGTAGCTCACCCCAGCTACCTTGGTGGCGATTGGGGGCTTCAGGACACAGAAATCCCCAAAAGGATGAAAGAACCGACGAAAAGAGGAGAAGGCAGCGAAACAGGGCCAGGGAGCTTTTGGTCCAGACGATTCTGATTCTGCGAGGTCAGCGATTCCCTTCTGTGTTCTTCAGACAGTGGGTTTCCGGAATTCAACCAGCAGGTGACGGTGGCGAGCACCAGCCGGACTCTGGAGGGCTCAGCTTCTGGGTTTCTAAGTAGGTAGCTTTTGCAGTTAGGAGAGTCCACGCCGGGTTCCGACGGCCTGCCCAGAGGCCTGGCCAGGCTTAGGGGCGCGGGTCCCAACAGACGGAGGGCGCAACTGATGCGAACCGGTGGCGAGCCGTTCTGTATGGCTGGAGAGAGAAGATGCTCTCGCAGTCAGAGCCGAGAGTGTCCCAGGACTCTGTTGGCAACAGCCGGGGTCTCGGGACTCGGGCGTTACCGCCTTCCTGGACTGTCGCAGCCGCCGCCGAGGTCCTCTCCACCCCCAGGAAGTGGTCTAAGGGCAGCAAGTCAGTGGCCCTTTAAGCGGCAGCCCCGCCCCGTAGCGCCCCGCCCTCCGCCCCCGTGGGCTGGCTGCTGGGGATGGGAGCCGGGACTCGCCACCGACGGGAGAGACGGGGCGGACGGGCTGGACGGGCCGACGCGAGCGGGGGTGGGGTGATTCACAGGCTTCACTACGGATGTGGCCGCGACGGCCCCGCGTTCCCTGCAGGTGTGCATGACCTCACTAGTACAGCTTTGGTCGGAGCAGGAGTCTGCAGTCCCTCTCTTCGGAGAAAACCCGGGCCTCGGGAACTCCCGAGGGGGCGGGTGCTGAGCCATCGCATTCCAGGCATGCCTGTGGGCCACCCCGGCGTGCCCAGGTCCCCACGCGGGTGGCTTCCCTTGTCGCCTGAGCTCGAAAGCCCCTCCCGCCAAGCCACTGGGTGCTAGTCAGCCTCTTCCTCTCTTAGAGAAATCCTAACCTCTAGAGAAGCCACAGCGCCCTGCACTTAGTGGCCGCTGCGCCCAACACCCTGCCAGGCCCCCAGGTGGCGCACAGTAAGGGAACTGGGAAAGAAAAAGCAGCGACTTTAATGGAGATCAGGCAGGCCGTGGCAAAGTGGGGAGGGGCCTGGAATCAAAGCGTGTGGAGGTCGTGACTGCGACGGCTCAGTTTCTCCGGGTCGTCCGATGCCATGAGGGAGAAGTCTCGGAATATGTCGAGATACGTCTCGTCTCCTGGGGAGGACAGGGCAAAGGCTGGAGGGCTGGACGGTTGGGCTACTATGGAAAAGCATCACGTACAGTAGGCGTGGATCTGGCCGGGCAAGCTCTTCAAGTAGGGGTGCATCGTAAGCGCATCACGGGTGCCTTTTCCTTTGTTCCGAGGGTCAGGCACGCTCGATGCGCCCAAACCGTGTTTGTTGAATAAACAATGGCATTATCGCAGTTGGGCACTAAGGGCAGGTAAGCAAGGGCCAGCATTCCGGTGTGGACCGGGGGTCCGGGTGAATAAGTGGTTACTTTACCTGCCTGGCCCTGGGCCGCTTCGGCCTCCCTCATCTTCGCCAGTCGTAGCCTGAAGGGTGGGAATTAAGGAATAAAAGACTTCACACTCTTCCTAACTTCCCATCCTTGGCCTAACTCCTCATCCTTTGAGCTACATCACGCGGTAAAAAAAAAATACCTCCCCATGACTAGTGCTTTAAAATGCAAACACATTAACTTTTCTGCAATGTTGATGGACGAACAATGGCTCCCATCATCTCACCCTGCCCCACCCCCTAACCCCCACAGAGCTTTACCCCACCCCTCCCCAGACCTCACCTTCCAGGTCTGGTTTTGGCATTAGCCCCACCCCAAAGGTGAACGCAATGCCCAAGCACTAGCCCGACCCTCTGGCATTCTCACAGGGTTACGATGTCAGCGTTGGCAGCTTCCATCGCGATAGTCAGAGGGTCCCTGCCTTCCGCGTCTCGAGCCCCCAGATCTGCACCCCGTTTCAGGAACAGGCAAGCCAACCTGAAAAGGAGAGCTAAATTCAGCTGCAGCCTTCCTGCAGTTTCACTCCCAGAAAACTCCCTCCCCATGGTGGCATTTCCGCTGCGCCCTACCCTGTGTGGCCAAGAATGGTGGCATGGTGGAGTGGGCCCCGGCCAGCACTGTCTGCCTGGTTCACATTCGCCCCGTTCTGGAGGAGAAACTCACAGGCCAGAAGAGAATTCTGCATGGAGAGATCGAGGAGGGGATGACAGTTTTAGAGATGGAGTTCTAGGTATTTTAGGGTGGCGTAATTAAGACGATGGGAGTGTGGAGTATGGTATTCAGGGTACAAGCAGGTGTCAGACCTGGCTGGTGCTCTTTACATGTTCATGAATTTAATCTTTCCTGAACTCTGATGAGGCATGCTAGTCCTCTTTTTGTTTGTTTGTTTTGTTTTTGTTTTTTGAGACAGGGTTTCTCTGTGTAGTTTTGATGCCTGTCCTGGAACTCACTCTGTAGAACAGGCTAGCCTCGAACTCAAAGAGATCCACCTGCCTCTGCCTCCCGAGTGCATGTGCCACCACTGCCCAGCCTGCTCTTCCTCTTTTCAAAAGATATTTTTATTGTTATTTTATGTGTATAGGTGTTTTGCCTTCATGTATGTCTGTGTACCACATGAAGTGAATGAGGAGGCCAGAAGAGCGTGCTGGATCTTCCGGCACTGGAGTCATAGTTATGAGCTGCCTTATGGGTACTGAGAACTGAGTCCTGGTCCTCAGCAAGTGCAGCATATGCTGAGCCATCTCTCTGGCCTCCTGGTAGTCCTACTTTACTGATGAGACTAAAGGCCCACAGAGACTGACAGTTTGTTTAACATCCCATGCAAGTGGTGGGTCCAAGATTGACTCACCACCTCCACACCACACTTTTAACACCCTGTCTGTGGGGTTTCCCTATGGGATGGAGACCCCTGGGAAGGTCAGGAGGAGCTTTAGGGTCAAGTAGAGGAGGTCAGCATGGTCCTTACAGCAGCTGTGGCCCGGATCAGAGGTGTGGCGTTCCCCTGACCCCCATTGACCCAGTTGACATCAGCTCCATGGGCCAGGGCATCAGCCATGGTAGGAAGAGATGGAGGATGTCCAGCAGCTTGGAACAGCAGGGCCCCAGGGTGCAGGCTTCCCAGGTTGTCAGATGGGGACTCTGTTGAGGAAAATCAGTACTGGGTCTGGGGAGAAATCTTCAGCACAGTCCCCAGATGCTGTGAGGCGGTAAGTCACGTCTAAACTGTGGGGAGGCCCTTGTGACTCAGGGCTGTGGTGAGAGATGGGAGTGATGTGTATGTGCATACATGTCGGGATGTATGTGTGCAAGGCCCCGGGTGTGGAAGAGATAGTATCACTCACCTCAGCCTGTCCAACCACCAGACTGGCTGGATGCCAGAGGTGAACTCCCAGACAGACTCAGCTCTTACCTTCCTCTGCCCAGGTCAGGCTTGTACCTTCTTTTCAGGCGTTGCCAAGCTCAACCCCTCTCCTGCCTCTTCTCATATTGGAGATTGCCTCCTCAAACTGCCCCCTCCATCTTTTTGGGGGGCTTTATTTTATTTATTTTATTTCCGAGACAGGGTTTTTCTGTGTAGTTTTGGTGCCTCTCCTGAATCTCGCTCTGTAGACCAGGCTGGCCTCAAACTCACAGAGACCCACCTGCCTCTGCCTCCCAAGTGCTGGGATTAAAGGTGTGTGCCACCACCGCCGGCAGAGATACCCCTTTTGTGGCTCTCCCTGACAGATTCCACCCCATAATTCTCCCCATGCTCAATGCCACACCCTACTGTATCCCCCTGAAACTACGGTCTGGCCCTTCTGACTTCCTCCAGGGGATGTTCTCAGTGTCTGCTGCCGTATAGGACCTGGCCCAGTAGCGAGCAGACAGCAATGAGCTTAACAGTCTCTACCTGACTTGGACCTGACGATCCCTGGCTGCGGCCTGAGAGAAGGCTTTGGGGGCACAGGAGGATGTCCTCTCGGGGGTCCCCTGCCACCTCTTCGTCCTCGAATTTCAGGAAGCTTGGTCAGGAACTTTTTCTCCACATACTTGGCATGAATCCAGGCTTCTTTTTCCTGCCTGGATGTTGGGAGAAGAGCTAGCCTTAGGTCCTTCATCCCATCCCCACCCTCCCGCAGTGGAGGGGAGCCCTGGGTACCTTCACCCCAACCTCACCGGGAACAGCTGGGCCCTGGCTTCTTTACTGCCATGGCCTCCACACGGGCCTCGTAGATCTGGTTGATGACGACATTTCCCAGCTCGCACATCAGCTTGAGGAGGCCCAGGAGAGGCCAAGAGAAAGAGGCGGGGTAATGGGGTGAGTCTCTGAGCCCTCGGGACTCCTCTGTCTCCACAATAGCCCAAGTTACCTTCACTAGTTCTGGTTCCCAGGAGTCAAGGGTCAGAGACCGGACTTTGGAGAAATGAACACCGAGGCTCCTGGAGGGCCAGAGGGAGAGTCATGCCCTGTGTGGGCCGTGGCCTGGGAAGGCTGTTGCTCCTGAAAAGACTAAGAAGCCAGGCTTGTGTGGAGGCTGTGCGGGGGAGCAGGGCCAGGAAGCAGGGCAGCAAAGGCCACATATCCTTGACCGGGCTCTGGCCTGTTCATCATCCTTCCCTTTATTTTGTTTCATTTTAAGGTCTCATGCTCTCTAGCCCCTTTTCCTTTCTCATGGTACTCTGGTCTGGAACATTCCTCCTGTGCCACCTCCCTTCTCTCTGTGTGTAGTTCAGAATGGTGGTGAGGTCTCTAGAACTTGGTAGGCCTTCACAACCTATTCTTTCTTTGGGCTCCGTTGGCTATCCCACCCTCAGCAACCCTAACCCATGCTTCCTCTGGTCAAGACAATAAATGCCCTGGGCTGGGCAGTGGTGGTGCACGCCTTTAATCCCAGCACTCCGGAGGCAGGGGCAGGTGGATCGCTGTGAGTTCTAAGACAGCCAGGACCCCCCTAAGCCTGTCCATACCCAACTCGAATGTGCACTTTGTGCAGCAAGCTTGGTGACCAGTGACAGAGAAGAAGAACATAAGAAAAAAACCAGGGTAGGGTGCATGAGAGGGTCCTGATGATGGCCATATTGCAGTTGAAAGTGGGGCTTATGCTTGGGGTCTTAGGGAATGACCTGTGGATGCCGGAACACTGAATGCAGAGGGTGACCCCGAGGTTGATACTGGCCCACTCTGGGGCTGGTTCCCTGCAGTCGCAGCACTGGGCATTTCCTTCTACACTTTGTACCTGGGCTGCCACCTGCCCAGCTCCCCCAGGTTCCCTTCCTCTGGCTGCTCCGCCACAGCCCACAGTAGCGGCAGAGCCCAGGGCAAGGTATCCTGAGACCTGAGGGAGACAGGGGAAGAAGGGGTGAGCAAGGGGCCTAAGGGTGAGGGGTGCTCCACCTCCCAGGACAGCATGGCTCCCGGTGCCCATATTAAGATACCTGGCCTGGCCCTCGAGGGCTGTTATCAAGGTGAGCCTGGCTGAAGGCCGAGGCGATGCTGCTCTGAACAGCATTAATCCACAGCTGCAGGAGGCGCTCAGAGTCAGCCTGGAGGAGGCAGGACCTGAGGGGGGCCGTGAGAGTAACAGAGGTGGGGGTCTGAGGTCAGAGGGCCATGAGGCAGAATGGGCAAACTGACGTGCAGCTTTTGCTGAACTGGTCAGATGGATTTAAAAATATATTTACTTATTTATCTATCTCTACTGCAGATTGAACCCAGGGCCTCGTGCATGCTGGGCAAGCACTCCACCTCTGAGCTACAGCCAAGCCATTTTTATTTTACTTTGAGATAGAGTCTGGTACATTGCTCAGATTGACTTCAAACATGCTAGTAGATCAGTCAGGCCTTGAACTTTAAAAATGACATTATAGCCCGGTGGTGGTAGTGGTGGTGGTGGTGGTGGTGGTGGTGACACAAGCCTTTAATCCCAGCACTCGGGAGGCAGAGGCAGGCGGATCTCTGTGAGTTCAAGGCCAGCCTGGTCTACAGAGCAAGTTCTAGGACAACTAGGGCTGTTACACAGAGAAGCCCTGTCTCGAAAAACAAAACAA